CTCCAATACCCTCCCCAGCACATGCTGGGCCTGCCTCCATGAGGTGGCCAGGACAGAAACCTCCAAGTGTGGGCAGAAGGTCTGCCAAATTGGGACACATAAGAGGGTAGCTCACAGGGAGACCAGCAGCAAGGTGGGTGTGTAGTCTGGTGAGCCTGAACTCACGCAGACTGAATTTCGGTTCCATTTTTCTGATTCGGGTTTAGGAGACCATCACAACCCATTCTCATGAAATTTAGTCTTCAACAATCTTAAAATCCTTGCTCCACTCTTGGTTTAGAACAGACAACATCTTTCCCCCTCCCCGGCCCTGTCCGGAGCTGAAAGACATGGCAGAAATCCACAGAGGGTCTCAGCCTGGAGTCGGTCAGGATCCCAAGAGGAGGCAGGTAGGCACTTACTCGGTCTCCCTCTGAAAGGCGGTCAGGACCAGGGACTTGAGGCTGGAACACAGATGGCAGGTATGGGTACTTGGCCCGCCTAGGAGCCGCCTCCACCCGGCCCCGCCCCGCCCTTGGCCCCGCCCACCTCTCCCGGTGCTCCGCCGCTAGCCGTCGCCAGCTGGTGCTCAGTCGTCTGCGGGTCAGCACGGCCGCGAACTGGCGGATCTGGGACGAGGAAGCACGCATGTGAGGGGCTGGGCGGCCCGCAGGGGGGCAAGCTGGGGCTCGACCGGTGGCGTACTAAGGGACGCTCCGCGGACAGGGGCAGGCATTTCACCTGAGGGTCGACCGCCGAGGCGAGCAGGTCGCAGAGGGCGGGCAGGGCGGCGGGGTCCCGAAGAGCGGTCTGGAGCTGCTCGGTGGCCTGGGAGGAGTCCCGGGGTCAGAGTCGGGGCTTTCCCACCACCTCCTCCTGTTCGTCCCGGTCCGATCCCCCCCACCCCCCCGTCCCGTACCCGGCGGATGCGCTCGGTGTCCGGCAGCAGCAGTTCCCGCAGGATCTGCTCCAGCCCGCCAGGCTCCATGGCAGCGGCCGAGCTGCCGCTACTGGGTCGGGAGGGGGGAGGGACAGCACGTGGAAGCCCTGAAACCCGCTTCCGGCGGAAAGGGCGTTGCTCCGCGCCCCTCCCGTCGCCACGGTGATTCAACTCGCTTTCCACAGGGAGCTTCGGCTTCGCCACTTCCGTCGGCCTTCAGCGGAAACAGGCCCCGGCACCGCAGGTTCCCCCGGACGAGAGTTCCCAAGCTCCGCGGAGAACTCGCGTTCTGTGCGTTCCGCGGCCGACCCGGCTTCCTAAGGGACAGTGCCCCTAACGGCACGGCTTGAGTTCCTATTTCCAGACCAACCCCCCAACTACAGGATCCTTTTTCTTAATAAATTTTATTTTGATAATTGTAAAAAGAAAAATCAGGACGAAAACTAAAGGCAACTTAAAAAGTTCAAATATATACTCCTTATATAATAGAGATTTGTAATTTTCAGGCTCTCCGGGGGAAAGGAGGCCCAAAGGGCAAAGGGGAAGGCAACAATGCCATCACACAATTCAGTCAATTAGAAGAGACGTTGGTAAGAAAGATCAGTGGGCCTCTGGACGTGAAGAATGGGAGAGAAGAGCAATAATTTTGTCACTCAAAACTCAGTCCATCTTGAGGTTAACATAGATATAACGGATGAACTTTAGGGAAGAAAAAAAGGAGATGGTGCCTAGCATGAGGAAGAAGACATAACCAGTGAGTAAGGAGTAGCCAAAAAACTCTACTGTCTGTACCGCCCCTGACATGTTGGAGCGCCGGGCATAGTAGAAAACGGAGTAGAGGAAGATGAAGAGCCCAGTGGAGCCAACACTCAGCACAGATCGCCACCACCAGCGGTAATCCTCCCCAGACAACTGGAAGTAGGTGAGCGCAATGGAGATGCATGCCCCCACGCTCAGCAGGATGGCGAAGACAAAGAAGAGGATGCCATACAGAGTGTACTGTTCCCGACCCCAGACTGTGGCAAAGATGTAGTAGAGCTCCACAGAGATGGCACTGTGAAGAGAAGACACGACACACCGCATTAAAGGGCTGTGCATCCCCAGCACAGTGCCAGCTCCACACCCAGCCACCACCCCTCCGTGGTACCGGGTCACTGTGGAAAGTGGGTCTGCTCCAGTCCCTGCCCTGGAGTGCCTGGCTCCATGGGGACTCTTCTACCCATGACTCGCTGCAGTTGTTTCAAGAACATCTGCCCTCATCGGTTCAGAGCAAGGATCTTGCTTGTTTGATTTTCTGCTGTATCATCTGCCTGGCACTAGAGGTCCTCAACAGATTGAAAAAGCAATGACGTGGGCTTCAAGCACCACGTGCTGCCTGTGGACAGTAAAGTCAGAAACCAGAAAGATGGTGAAAGGGAGCAGCGTCTCCGGAGAGCTTCCTAAGTGAGACACCCTCACCTGTGAAGTGCTTCAAGCAGAGTCCTGCTTGGAGAAAGGAGGACCCATTTAATGATCTCTTACTGGTAAAGCTGAACCAGGGATTATCACTCTTGTTGGGTTAGGGTCCTGGGAAAGGAAAAGTCAGGAATCTGAGAGTGATGGCCATGGCATAAAGGGAGGATACCTGAAAGGCAGGAAGCCTCCAACAGTCATGTGGATGAGTGTAGACTTGTACCAGGGCTGGGGTGGGATTTCCCGGGCGATGTTCTTGGTGCGACAAGGTGCGTCAAAGGGGCTAGCATTGTTCTTCCCGAAGATGCCTCCGATGACCGTGAGGGGAAAGCCCACCAGCAGCCAAACTGTCAGCAGCAGCAGTATGGTGGTGGCTGGCAGAGCCTGTGTCGAACCATTAGCCCAGTGCACCGAGTTCACCACACTCCACGTCAGGAAGAAAGGCACTGCAGGGATGGGCCCCCAGAAGGAGGGTCAGCAGGGGGAAGTTGCATCCCTGGGACCACCCACTTAGACTAGCCCTGACAGGGAGAGAGGGTGTGAAGTATCCTGCTCCCAGGCAGACCTCTGCCCTGCCATAGCCTGTAGTTTCCGTTCCTTATCTTAACAACATCCCCTCCCCCATCCATTATCATTAAATAGCATGAGACATCCCTTTGGATTAAGGCCCTGTTTTCAGAAAGCTCTGGTTCAAACATAAATGTGATAAAATATAAATCAGGATTGGGAACACAAAAGGCTTAGAATGCACACTACTACTGCCTTTGAAAGGACAAACTGGCTTGTAAGGCTAGAGTTGGGTAGCCACCTCCAAATTTAAAAAATTATTTTTTTTAAGGGGGGGGGAGTATCAAAAAATAAGTTCCCAAAAGAGTGTTATTTCATTCTTGATGTAATGGTCAAGAATATGGGATCTTGAGTCACGGTGCCTAGGTCTGAAACCTGCTCCACTCCCTCTTAGGAGCGTAATGTCAGGCAAATTACTTAACCAGCCGGAAGTTCATTTTTCTCATCAGTAAAATGGGGACAATATTACCTTCACATAAGATTACTGTGAGGATTAAATGAGAGCAAGGGGCGTCGAGTGCTTACCATGCTGCCTAGAACATTTTGCAAAAGAAATGCATTCTTGTCTTCTGAATGGTTTTGTTTCTTTTGCATATTTTTATTGCTTTGATGCAATAAAAATAGAGTGCTTTGAAGCACTCTATTCCGGGTTCCACAATGTGTTCTAAGTTTCTCAAATCGGCCCACCAGGCCAGCCCACCAGGGAAAGGGCAGTCCTCACCAGAGAAGAGGCTGGTGGTAAGAATGATGTTCCACACCCAACGCTCGCCTCCAATCTGCCGGTAGAAGTGGCTGGACACGTAGCCAGAGATGCAGCAGGTCAGGGCATACAACAAGATGGCTGCCGAGTTAATGGCCCCATGACGGTGCACATTGAACATGCCCAGCAGCGCCATGACAATAATGCCTGCAGGGTGGTAGTGGAAAGCCTGTGTCAAGTCCTAGTCTTTCCCTTTTCTGGCAATTTCAGAGGAATCGGTCCCCTTCCACCCAGACCCAAGGTCTCCAGAAAACAATATCCCCTAATTCTGTTGTCCAGCAAACCCACAGCTGAATATACACATCCTTTCTTTCTTTTTTTTTTTTTCCAAGTAAGCTCCACGCCCAGTATGGCCCAAAGCCGGGTTTGAACTCATGACCTTAAGATCAAGACCTGAGCTGAGATCAAGAGTTGGATGCTTAGCCGACTAAGCCACCCAGGTGCCCCATACACCTCCCTTTTGAGGTCACCCCACCCCCCCTTCAGTCTGCCCCTCACCTTGGACAGAAGAGAAGATCTGCAGATCTTTCCAGAACAAACCACCTGCTTAGTTCTACCCCTTGAGAGAAATCCCTGATTAATTTTTATCACCTCACCAGTGCCAAGGGCCAGGAACTGGGCACCCACACCAAGCACAGCACAGAGCAGACCACGGTATGGAGGGAAGCGGAAGACATCTGTATGGATAATTTTCCAGCCATTGTCACCTTGGTCAAAGTCATCACCAGAACCTGCAGACGTAGTCTCCTCATCCAAGTTGTATCGAGCCAGGTCGTTTCGAAGCACACGCATGAGAATGACAGCCACAAAACCCACCAGTAAAAACACAAGCACCATGGAATTGATGATGGACAACCAGTGGATTTCCAGTGTTCTGGGAAAGAAACCACCATCATCACCACGGCGCCTGTCACTCCGACGTTCCACTGAAGTCTCAGACCAACGCACACTGTAGGTGTGGGTGAGGCCTAGGAACTCATCGGGTCGTAACCCATCTAAGCTGTGGGGCTTGACATCCCGCACTGAGACATTGGCAAATATAATTCGATCTCCATGGAATTCTAGGTGGAAGTCCAAATGGGTCCAGAGCCCTATTTTGTGGCTGTGAGGCAGGAAGCCACTCTCCTCCATGTAGCCCACAAAGCCACGGATTGGCAAGTCGTCCACTACAAATTCGAAGTAGTACAGTTCCTCAATGGCCTGGCGAAGTTGTTCCACCTACAAAGAGTAAGTCAGGAGTCAGACACGGCCTCCCCAGGCAGAGGGTTAGAGCAAGGTTTCACAACCTGGACACCACTCATATTTGAGGCTGGATAATTCTTTATTGCAGGGAGCTGTCCTGTCACTATAATAAGCACCATACCTGGCTCCTTCCCACTAGGTGTCAGTAGCACCACCAACAGTGACAATCAAACTGATCTCTAGGAGACATTGCCAAATGTCCCTTGAGAGACAAACTGAACTGCCCCCTGTTAAGAACCACTGGGTTAGGGCGCCTGGGTGGCTCAGTGGGTTAAGCTGCTGCCTTCGGCTCAGGTCATGATCTCAGAGTCCCGGGATCGAGCCCCGCATCGGGCTTTCTGCTCAGCAGGGAGCCTGCTTCCTCCTCTCTCTCTGCCTGCCTCTCTGCCTGCTTGTGATCTCTCTCTGTCAAATAAATAAATAAAATCTTAAAAAAAAAAAAAAAAAAAAAAACCACTGGGTTAGACCCTAGTATGCTGGGATTCTCCAAAGAGAGCAATATGACTTGATAGGGGTTAAGGTGTAGAAAAAGGAGAAAGGCAAGGTGGAGGAAGATCTGGGTAAACTAAAGAAAAGTGCCCTAAGATAGGATCTGCTAAAGAAAAAAGCATCACGGGAAAGATAAGAGTGTAAAGGAGCTAGTTAAGAAAGCCAGTAAGTAGGTATGGAAGGAAACAACGATGCAGCAGTGACACAGGTGGGACCTTATTACCAATAAGCAGCTTGGAGTCAGGAGCTCTGGGCTCTAGTGTCACCTCTGTAATTCAATATCCACGCAGTCTTGAAAAAGTCTCTCATGAGCAAGTATGTTTCTTCCTCAAGTGAATGCAAATAATACCACGAGTCCTGCCTACCAGTGGGGTTGTAGTTAGAATCCAGTCGGATCATTTCCATAGAGGTGCTATAAAACCATAAATTAGGAGGCACTCTTATGAGTCCCTGGGAGGGAGGGCTAAGCACTCGCCAATGCAGAGAGGCTGACCTGTGCAGAATTGAGCTGCATGTGGCACAGAATTCTCTTCTCCACATTCTCCCGAAAGCGTATCTCGTACAAAGACTCGGCCATTCGGTCCCCATCCAGCACTTCACCCAGGCTAAGGCTTTTGTGACGGATCTTCTCAGGGCAGCAGACCGGAAGCTGATAGTAGTGGTAAGTCTCCTGAGGGTTGTGGTAGGGTCCCACTTTGTTGACGTAGAGAATGACGGGGTCACCGGCCTTGTAGTGTGTCACACCTTCCACCCCTGGCTCATAACATGAGCCCAGCAGCAGTATCAGGACTGGCAACCACTGGCAGCTCCAACTCCGCGGCTGCCCTAGGACTGTCATCCTTAAGCCAGTGGAACCTGTTTGGGGGAATCCTGCAGTTATGAAAAGCAGGGATCAACTCCTGACGCCCCAGCTCAGGTCCTTCGAAACGAAGCCCCATAGCTCCAATCTCTCCCCCTGGCCGCTCAAACCCTCCCTCGGGAGGCCGCCCCCCGACCCCAGTACAATCCTGTCTCTGTCCGCCTCTGCGCTCTCGTCCTCTAGATCTGGGGTCCCGGTCCCACAGTCCGCCTGCCCCGGACCTCTCAGCGCGCCCAGCCCGTTTCCATGGCAACACCACGCGACCTCGCGCCTCCGGCACCTTCCCGCGGCACCCGCGGGGTCCTCACCAATCGGGTAGGGCTGGCCTCCGCGGCGCCCGCGGCCTCGGCGGCCCCGTAGCTGCCCTTGGGCTCCTGCCCGGGTCTCCCCCAGAGCGGCGCGGAGCGGCGGCCCGGAGAGGACCTGAGGACCGACCTCCACGGGGTTGGCCGCCGCGGCGCCTGATCGCAGCGCCTGCGGCCGCAGCACGCGGGACGCCGCACTCGGCTGAGTGAAGGGCTCCTCGACGAGGTTTCTCCAGCCAGGAGGCCGGCCCAGCTCCGGAGAGCCCGCAAGGCTCGGCTAGTCCGCTCCCCCGGCGGGGCCACCCCACTGGCGATGTGCAGAGCAGCCCAGGACACGTCAGTCTTACCACTTCCGCCTCTCCCTCAGGGGCCTCAGCCCGGCGGAAAGCTCCTCGCTTGGAGCGAGAGGGGACCACGCCCCCACCACTGCGGCCGTGGCGTTGCTCGGCCGACGGCTTCTCGGGCAGGGGCTACAGCTGAGGCCAGGCTGCGCGGCCGTGGACGCCCCTTCGGGGTAAGAGTCGCTGCTGGGCCGCCCGCCCGTCCCCGGGGAGACTTGGGGGTCGGGCGGAAGCCCGGGAGCCGCGTCCGCCGCCCGCGTCCAGTGACTGTCCCGGAGACGGAGCCGGGTTGGTGGCTGGGCCCACACCTAGCGGACGCCGGGAGCATTTGCTGGCTGAACCAATCGGACTCGCCCCCAACTGCAGAGGGCGAGCTCCGAGAGGCGGTCCGTGGCCCCAACCCGGGCGGGGCGGTGGGGGCAGGGGGAGTGAGACTTTGGGTGTCACTGTGCTAGGACAGCTCGGGCACGGTCCGTGCAAGAGTCCTGGAGTCTGGATCTCTCCTCACTGCTCTCCCAATCCGTCACGAATGGTCTCCCGCCGAAAAATAAATATATGAATAAAAATATTTTCCCGGGGCTGCACCGGAGGCCTCCCTGGCCGTATAACGACCATCCCATATCCGAACTTAGGCAAGCCCGAGCCAGGTCTGGTGCGGAGGCAGGCAGAAGAGACAGGGTGTCGCCCCTTTTATCTGGTGAGTTGGGCAGCCTGACAGGGTTATTGTTACTTGCAGGTAAAGAATCTGGGCATACGTTCGACTCTTTCTTTGTTTTTGTTCGTATTTATCTGTGTACGTTCGAGCTTAATTTCGTATTGCAGGTTATTCTGGAAAAGTTTACCTTTGCCTGTCTCCGCTACTTCAAGGGCGTCTGCCATTAGGGGAATTTTGAAGATCAGACCCAGGGGCAGTGACTTCCTTTTGGCCAGCGGGGGGCAACATTTAAGGATGCAGACTTAAGGTTCCCTTTCCCCGAGGAAAGACTATCTAGTGCAGGGAAAAATCCTAAGTGGCTTCTGACCTGAAAAGTCCTCCATTTACCCTCTTCTGCCCTCTCTGACCTAGCCCTCCTCTCTGCAGGAGAAGGAGGTGAGGTTCTAGGAAGTAGGAGATTGAGTTTTTTAGCTAAATCAGTGAATTTTGTAATTAGAAAAGTAACTTAGAGAAGCCAGAGACCTGGGACTGTTTCTCACTCCCCCATCCCAATCACCAGCCTCCTCAGATCAATGCTGTCAAGCCCCCCTGCTGCTTATTTCCTCAGTATCTTCCAAATACTTGCCCTCCATGGCTACCTTCGTTCAGGTCCCATCCTCTCTGACCTAAACTACCACGACAACCACCTTGCTAGTCTCCTGGGCACCTCCCCTCTTGGGTCCATTTTCCACTCTGCTGCTGTGAAGATTCATACATCTACACACTGTATATACTATTCCCTGCAACAGTGGTTCTCAAATCTTGGTGTGTATCACATTCGGCTAGAAGCTTATTAAAAACAAGGAGCTCTGGGTCCACAAAATCAGGATCTTAAAGCTCTGGGTCCACAAAATCAGGAGGTGACTAGGCATCATGGTTTTTTAACAGGCCTGGACTTTGACCATTTTGATCAAAATTTGACCATGAGTACACAGGAGAAACTCCAAAGGCTTGGTATATGAGGCCTGTCAGACCTGGATCTTTATTACTTCTCCAGGTACATTACCCTTTTGGAACCCTATTCTGGATTCAAATTAGAATCTTGAATGTCATGTTCTCTCAAGCCTGCAAGCCTCATACGATTCCTTCGGCCTAGACAGCCCAGTCTGTCGTTCCCTATTTACGTGCCTGGAGACTCCTCTTGAACAGTGCAAATGCCTCTTCTATAAAGCCTGCCTTTACATCTTCCAGTCTTTGTTTATAGCACTTTATCTCACTGTACTGTTATTTTACTTACGTGTCTGTCGTTCTTGCTAATTACTAACTACTCCTAGGAAGACTGTAATTTATCCATCTTGATATCCTCAGGACTTAGCAGTGTTTTTGTATAAAGTAGGCAGCTTAATACACATTTTCAAATGAACTGGTTTACCCACTGGACATGAGGAGGACAGAGCTGCCACCAAGCCACCTGTCCAGAGGAGCAGATGGGCAGGGCTGGGGTTGGGGGGACTTCCTGACCACGGTATGCCCTGGACAACTCATCTTGCTAGTGTGAGAATGTAGATCTAGCTTCCAACAAACTTTGTAATTACCCTGCCAGCAGGATCAGCAGGCTGTTCATAAGTAGGAATTTACCAGTAGCCTACTGCATAATCTGTTGTTGGAATTGTTTTTGTAAGACAGCAAATCTCATTCTTCTCCTGTTCTTTCCCTGCGTGCCATGCTCCCACCTTGCTCACACACAGTCTTATATCCAGGTAACCCCTCTAGCAAGAGACCACAATCTCTTGTCCTCCATCATTCCCTCCAGACTTGTTCTTGTTTCATGGAGAACTGCAACCCCTCCATTTGTCCCTCTGACCTTTTTCTAGCTTGTCTTTCGAACCCATGTGGCTTAGATTCTGCATTCCATCATTTCAGCCACATTCTTGCCTGTGTTCTTGATGCCTCTCTTCCATTCTTTCATTCCAGCTAGCAGGGGAAACCTTAATCTTGGGTTCATCTGTCAATATTCAAGCACCTATGGGGCGCCTGGGTGTCTCAGTCGGTTAAGCATCTGCCTTCGGCTCAGGTCATAATCCCAGGGTGCTGGGATTGAGCCCTGCATGGGGATCCCTGCTCAGCCGGGAGCCTGTTTCTCCTGCTCCCTCTGCTGCTCCCCCTGCTTGTGCATGCTCTGTCAAATAAATAAAATCTTTTAAAAAAATATTCAAGCACCTATACCCAAGATACTAAAAAAAAATCTTAACACTGTGTTAAAATCATGTGTCTATAAATTATGTTTTTAACTTCAGTTGGACCCCCAGTGCTGCCCAGTGATCCTGCTTATTTTCCAGATTAGCTCTCTTCCATTCTCCACAACCCATTCTTCACAAACCTCTGACTTCATTTCCCTCTTCTTGTCAGTTGACCTCCCTTACAGCCCTAGCGGGAGATGCAAGCAGAAAAAACACAATTACAGACACTATGTTAGATGTGGTGACAGAGAAAGTACTCGGGCTCTGGGAGCACCCAGGAAGGAGGAACATCAAGTTTGGGCTTGAGCAGTCAGTAAAAGGTGTCCTTAAAATAGCTCATGAGCTAAGTCCTCAAGGAAGAGTAGGGGTTTGCCAGGACAGAGGGAACAATGAAGGAAGAGTAGTTGTTTGTCTGGAGCACTGCATGTATTTTAAAAGATAAAACTGGGGGCATCTGGGTGGCTCAGTTGGTTAAGCATCTGCCTTCAGCTCAGGGGTGGTCCTGGGATCAAGCCCCTCACTGGGCTTTCTGCTCAGCGGGGAGCCCGCTTCTCCCTCTCCCTCTGTCTACAGCTCTGCCTATCTATACTCTTTCTCTGTCAAATTAAAAAAAAAAAATCTTGGAAAAAAAGGATAAAACTGGAGAGGTAAGCAGGATCAGATGCTGAAGGCATATAAAATAATTTGGACTTGATCCTGAGACTGGGGAAGACAATGAATTGTTTTAAGTGGGAATAAAGTAAGTGTTATGCCTTGGGGTTCAGGATGAACACTGGCGGGGAATAGAAAGCTTGCTAGAATTGATGGAGGCTTGACCAAAGTGGCAGCCACTTCAAGAGGCCGGAATTTATTATTAAAGATAATTAGGAGGCAGAATGTAGGGGCTGAGGCAGAGGGGAGGGTCTAGGATGACACCTGGGTGTGTAAACTGAAGACGACTGTAGAACTTAACAGAGGGTGCCTGGGTGGCTCAGTTGGTTAAGCGACTGCCTTCAGCTCAGGTCATGATCCCCTGGTCCTGAGATTAAGCCCCACTTTGCTGGAATTCCGATTACTCCCTCTCCCTCTGCCTGCCTCTCACCCTACTTGTGCTCTCTCTCTCTGTCAAAAAAATTAATAAAATCTTACAAAAAAAAAAAAAAAAACTTAACAGAAAGAGGCAGTCTAGGCCAAGAACATAAAGTGTTCAATTTTGGACATGGTGAGTTTAAGAGACCTGAGAAAGACCTGTCCTTGTGATGTCCAGTAAACTACTGGATGCGGATCTGAAGTACAGAGGACATCTGGGGTAGACATGAGATTAGGAGCAGTCAGCACTGATTTAATAACCAAAGTGTTGGAGCGGGTGAGATCCTAACAGGAGAACATAAAGCCCAGAGGAAGTAAGGCCTGTGGCAGGATAAGATAAAGGGACAAATAGAGAAGATAAGTCTCCAGTGAAGTCTGAGGAATGGCTAGAGGGAAAAGAGGAAAACTACAGAACTTAGGGTCATGGGAAGCAAGATAAGAATGCGTTTCAAGGTTCACAGGTGGAGTCTCTTCCATCCCTTTGATCTGAGATCTCATAACCTTGTACCTGTTTTTACTTGTATAGAGGTATGGAGGTGATGCTCTGCAATTTTGGAGCCTAGGCGTAGTTGATCGTGCAATTTATGATTTTTTTTCCTTTTGAAATTCAGTGCTACTCTGAGGATTGCTGGAGGGGAAGGGGCCAGGAGGAATGAGGCGGCTGGGTTATGGACATTGGGGAAGGTGTGTGCTATGGTGAGTGCTGTGAATTGTGTAAGACTGATGAATCACAGACCTGTACCCCTGAAACAAATAATACATTACATGGTAATTTTTTTTTTTAAAAGCAAAAGAAAATAAAAAGAAATCAGTGCTATTATGTGGAGGAACTCTGGCTAGTCTGGCTGGATGGTGAGACCATATGTGGCAGAAACAAACCATCCCAGCTAAGATGAGACCAACAGAAGAACCACCCAACTGAGCCCAGCTCAATTTGCAAAAAAAAAAAAAAAAAAAAGTGGTGGTTGCTTTAAGCCAAATAAACAAAAAACACTGTAAGGTTAAGATTCCTTAGAATAGGCTTCTACAATGCCTTGTAATTCTCTGTAATATTCTCACATGTGTGCTTCTCATTCTGGATAATAAAGTCTAGGAGAATAGGGTGTTATTGGCGATTTTATCCCAGCACTCAGTATGCGGCCTAGCACACAGCGGATGCTCAATAAACATGCTTGTTCGACTAGATCTATAGGGGGTCTCACCAGACTGCAGAAGTTGTCTCCAGGAATATGTTCCACAGTGCACCATTCTCAAGCCTTGTGGCCAGTGGTGGAAAGAAGGTGAATTGTGAGGTATGTGGAACATGGGACCCTGGGGAGTTCCGTAACCAGGAGGAGAAAGAAGCAACAACAGCTAGTGGTGACAAAAAGAACTGCTGCTCCCTTCTTCCCCCTCCATGTTCCTAGTGGAGAGTTGAGCCCAGCATCCCAGACTTGCGTGACTATATAGGCAAGCATTCAGAGACTGACTTCACTTTGGTACCCTAGCCCTCAGTGGCTCAAGGTTGGCTTTCTGAGCAGATAATAGGCTTTTAAGTAGCAAAGTTCCCTGCTCTCAGCAAGCCCAACACCATGGGGAAGGGAGACACCTCGGAGGTAGCACCACCCACTTCAGCCTACCGCTCTGTCATGGAGGACTATGGTTATGAGGTGGGCAAGGTCATTGGCAATGGCTCCTATGGAACGGTGTATGAGGCTTACTACACAAAGCAGAAGGTGATGGTGGCTGTCAAGATCATCTCAAAGAAGAAGGCCTCTGAGGACTATCTTAACAAGTTCCTGCCCCGTGAGATACAGGTTGGAAAGGGGGCCGGAAAAGGGAACTGATACCGAGCTGCTTAAGACTTCTCAGAAGGGCTATGTTAGGAGGGGGAGGAGACAAAACACCCCACCTCCCCTCCCAATCAGGGCTGAATGTCTTCCTAAGCAGATGGAAAATGATTTGATGGGAATTCAACCTCTTTCCACCCACCCACTCACCTCCAGCCCCTCACAAAGTAAAAGTCCAAAGCATAGTGTTTGCCCACAGACCATGCAGGCCTCTGGAGCTTAATCCTCTTGCAAAGTTCTAAGTTACTTAGAACAGCAGGAGGAGGGCTGGGAGCACAGCCAGGGTTCTCCCTTCCCAGGTCTGATGGGTCCCTCTTCCGGGGCCAGGTAATGAAGGTCCTGCGGCACAAGTACCTCATCAACTTCTACCAGGCCATCGAAACCACATCCCGAGTGTACATCATTCTGGAGCTGGCTCAGGGCGGGGACGTCCTGGAGTGGATCCAGCGCTACGGGGCTTGCTCTGAGCCCCTTGCTGGCAAGTGGTTCTCCCAGATGACCCTGGGCATCGCCTATCTGCACAGCAAGGGCATCGTGCACCGGTGAGGGTGCTGCCACCAGGCTGGGGCCCATGGGCTCTCCAGGGGGTTTCATGCATGTTTCCCATTTTCTGCCTTCTTTTCTCCTCCCTTGGCCTTCCTCAGTTATCTAGGCCCCTTCATCCCCTCTATCTAAATTCTCTGCTCAAGAACATTTCTGTAGCGCCCACTGTGAGCACGGCACCGTGAACTACAATAACGAGCCCCCCATGGTCCTCAGGTACCATCCTCTCACCTTTGGGCTCTGCTCACGACTCCATGGCTCCTCCTCTCTTCCCTGTGTCCGCCTAATGGCATCGCTCTCCACTTTGCCTTTTCCATCTCTAGCCTCTGACCCCTGGCCCTTCAGCTCCCGGTCTAATACTAAGCCCTCTCCCCAGCCTGACCCCCAGCCTTTCTGCTGCTGGTAGGGACTTAAAGTTGGAGAACCTGTTGCTGGACAAGCGGGAGAATGTGAAGATATCGGACTTTGGCTTCGCCAAGATGGTGCCTTCTAACCAGACAGTGCACAGTAGCCCTTCTTACCGCCAAATGAACTGCTTTACAAACCACCTCAGCCAGACCTACTGTGGCAGCTTTGCTTATGCGTGCCCGGAGATCTTGCTGGGCTTGCCCTACAACCCTTTCCTGTCTGACACCTGGAGCATGGGTGTCATCCTCTACACTCTAGTGGTCGCCCGGCTGCCCTTTGATGACACCAATCTCAAGAAGCTGCTGAAAGAGACTCAAAAGGAGGTCACTTTTCCATCTAACTACTCCATCTCCCAGGAGTGCAAGGTGCTGGCTCCCCCAGGAGGGCTGAGGCCTCAGGGATGACCCACAGGGAGGGAAGACCCATCCCAGGCCTCCCCACCCTGGGGGAGGCTCTTCCCCACCAGACCCATCTCATACTTTAACCCCTGCCCTAGAGGAGTTAACTGGGAGGGAGCTAAAAGGGACACCCCTGGGCTCCACACCTTACATGACAGTCCTAAGCAGGTTTTAGCCTCTGTCTCTTTAGGCCAGAAAGGATTATGCAAGTTTTCCCCCAAGGTACCCTTCCTTTCCTTCTCCTCCATGGAGTTAAATGCCTGGCTCTTCCGGATAAAATCAGGGCCACACTCCCTTTCACCAGAGTGGTGTGATGGGCTCTCCTGCTTCTCTCTTAGATCCAACTGCTCACTGCCCGTGTGGCACAATGGGGGGCGAGCTCAGCCAAGACCTCTCTTTCCCCTGCCCTAGAACGTGGTCCTCCAGACGCTACGCCAAGCCACCAAACGGGCCACCATCCTGGACATCATCAAGGATCCTTGGGTGCTCAAGTTCCAGCCTGAGCAACCCACCCATGAGATCAGGCTGCTTGAGGCCATGTGCCAACCCCCCAGCACCACTAATCGGCACCAATCCTTGGAAATCAATACCTAAAAGTGGTTGAAGGAAGGGGTTGAGAGAGGAGCTAAGCAGGAGGGTCTGGGGCTAAAAATCTTTTATACCAAAAATAAATCTGATTTAGTTTCAGCAGCTGGGGTCAAAGACACTCTTTCTACAGGGGAACATTAGCAGGGAACACTTACTGAGGGTAAGAGGTGGATTTCTTTCTTTCTTTTTTTTTTTAAGATTGTATTTATTTATTTGACAGAGAGAGAGATCACAAGTAGTCAGAGAGACAGGCAGAGAGAGAGGGAGAAGCAGACTCACCACTGAGCAGAGAGCCCGGTGTGGGGCTCGATCCCAGGACTCTGAGATCACGACCTGAGCTGAAGGCAGAGGCTTAACCCACTGAGCCACTCAGGTGCCCCAAGAGGTGGATTTCTAACCAGAGTCTGTAACCAGTCATCTTGGTATCTGTTAAATCAACAGGTTAATTCACAATGTAGCTCATACGTGGCTCATAGGGGAGAGGGTGCTGGGATAAACACCCACTTTTGGGAAGCTTCATTATTCTGGCCAAGTAGATGCTCATTATTTTACATCTCTGTGCATTCTAAATGATCAAGCAGTGGGGAAGAGCTCCAGGTTGCTCTTTGGTTATGGTTCTGCCTCTGTATACAGTCCAAAGGGATGGCATTATTTGTTTTCTTTGAAATGGGTATCAAGATGGGTGAGATATCCTGGTTCCTTCTCCCTTCTCCCGATGCCACTTTAACCACTACTGAACAATCCTAGTGCATCACGGCCCCTCGTCTACTGCTCTTAGAAACAGAAATGACAAGGGCACCTGAGTGGTGCAGTTGGTTGAGCGTCCCATGCTTGGTTTCTGCTTGGGTCATGATCTCGGGGTTGTGGGATTGAGCCCTGCATCAGGCTCTGTGCTCAGCAGGGATTCAGCTTGGGGTTCTCTCTCTCCTCCTCCCTATGCCCCTCCTGCTTGTGTACACATGCTCTCTCAAAATAAATAAACCAATCTTAAACAACAACAAAAAGACACCAAAATGACAGTTCAAACCAAGCCTACTAATCATGGGCTGTGAATAAAGGAAAGCTACTTCCTTCTTTAACCCTGTATTCTCCCTCCCTGTCCTTGAAAATGGACTTTGCAAAAGGAAAATGAGTAGTAAATCATGGGGCTGTCTTGGCAGAGGCATGACTGGGGGTAAGCAATGGCAGAAGACTCAGCTCTGCATGGTTCTAAGATATATAATCCCTGTGCTTAACCTCAGCACTAAGCAAGCACCTCTAGGACAGACCAACTTGAAAGATAACAGACCTACCTAGAACATAGGAGGTCCAGATATCATCAACTCCCATTTGTTCCCTGTTCCAATACTTCGTTACTCCCTTCATTACTCCCATTGTGATTCACTGCTTGACACAAAGCTCCAAAGGCCAGGGAAGAGTTTCAGGTGTAGACGAGGCAGTGTAAGCACTGGGGTTCCATCGGCCCGATTTTATTGCGAACAAGGGCACCGTAAGCGCAATCACAGAGAAGGGAGCCTGGGGGCTCCTCTCACCATGGTCCTTTTTCAGAGTTGAGCCAGGGAGGGGAGGGCGACAACCCCTTTTCACAAGGTCACACTATCATCCTCAGCAGGACCTCCCCAAAAGGCTTTGTTCCTTTAGCTTAGCACTTGGCACTTAAGGAAAAGGGACCAATAAGGCAGCACCAGGAAAACAAGCCCATACTCATCAGGATACCCACTCAGCCAACTGCTTTAGGGCTTCTTCATCTTCATCTGCCTCAGGAGCTTCGGGGAAAGGACACCCAGAAAAGAAAGAAGTGTTAGGGCCGTAGCAATTTCCAACAATCCCCTGCTAGAATGCTGAGTCTGCTGAATTTTGTCTCCCCAGCAAAGAACCTAAAGGTATGGTCCTTGGTGAGCTTGGTGAGCTGCTGCTAATTCTCTGAGCACCCCCATACTAATTAGGAGAATGTGCTGCTCTCTCCCAGTACCTGCAGCCCTATACGAGGGTACCCAGCTTGCCAAGTGAGGCTCAAGCGGGACTTTAGTCTTTATTCCTGCTCAGTCAGGTGCCCTTATGCAGTCAAAAACCTGTGCAACTGTAGCAGCAGTCCTCTCTGCCTGGTTCCTTTGAAGCAGTATATAAGAGGAATAATCTTTCCCCATATCTATCCCACCTCCTCAAGTCCTTAAGACAATAGAATAGCCCTGAATACCTGGCCCTGCAGGCAGATGTGTAGTGGGTACACTGGGCAGTTCGATGGGGGGTTCTTCCTCCTTGTCACCCACAGTTAATAAGTCCCGGGCCAATTCCTCCTGCTCCAGCTCCTCTAACTCCTCCAACAGTTCATCCTGGATACGGAACAACAAAACTGTTCAACCTAAAGAAATGAGGGGGAGCCTGGGTAGCACAGTTGGTTAAGCATGTGACTCTTGGTTTCAGATCGGGTTGTGATCTCAGGGCCCTGATCTCAGGGTTGTGAGATCGAGCCCCATGTCAGGCTCCGAGCTCAGCAATGAGTCTACTTCGGACTCTCTCCTGCTCCCTCTACTCCACCCCTCCCACGATCTCATGCTTTCTCTAATTAAAAAAAAAAAAAAAAGATGAAGAAAGGGAACTCGTACTTCCAAAAACATACCACTTCTAGAGTCCCTCTCCTCCCGCAAACTTGCCCCATGATTCTCTCGGGCCTTCCTTCTGGCTGGTCTCTTGCTTTCTCCCATATTTCCTGACCCCTCACTCCCAATCACCTCATCCACGACATCTCCAAAGCCCACAGGCTGAGAAATGGCATCCGAGATCTGCTGGGCCACCTCCTGTTGTTCTGTGATGTCAGCCATCAGTTCATCCACCTTGTCAATGTCCCTAAGAACAAGATACACAGCCAAGAAATCAGGCAACAACCCTCCTAACGCTCCTGTCTTGCCTGAATGAAGACCCCCGCCCCACCACCTCCTGTGGCCTGAGGCTGATAAATCCATGGCCATCAGGTAGAAGAGATCCCTGGGAAATTGTACGAAGGCAAGGCTGGCCTGAGGATTGGCAAGAAGCCACAGTGGGGTGGACAGGCTGCACTCCCTTCTCTGAAGGGTCTTCAAAACTTAGAAAAATCATCTTTCCTCCCTATAATGACTTAGCCAGCAAGGAGACCTTACAGGAAGCAAGGAGACAGACAAAGAACTTGCTGTCATAGACATCTGTACCGTAAATTCCCATTCTGAGAGGTCTTAAGATTCAAAGTACAATACAAGCTACTTTCCCCAGTGCCTGGGCCCCCTGCTGCCCTCCCCCCGTACCCACATGTCCTGGTAGGCCTTCTTCATGCCTTGGGCAGCGAGCTCCATGGTACGAACCACTTCTGCATTGGTGGTGGCATTTTCAATGGCCTCACGCTGAAACTCCAGGGTGGATAATGTTCCATCGGTTTGTGCTAGCTGTTGTTCCAATCTTTTCTTCCTCCGCAAAGCCTGTAGGGCGGCTGATGTGGCACACACCCTGAACATCAGAGCTGGAAGCCCTTGATTCCTACCTGGGCCCACCCTGTTGGCCCCTCTCCCCCATCCCATTACCTCTCTTGTTCTTCATCCCATGCTTCTTGGCCATCTGTAGCTCCTGTTGAATCCTCTGCTCCAGAAACTCCTGTTTCTTGATCAGTATCTTCTCTGTGTCTTTCAGTTTCTGTATTGCCTCTTCAGGGGTTGGCCCTTTCTCTTTCTTCCCTGGAGTCCCAACCAAGCCGGCCCATATTGTGTGAAGGGAAAAAATCAGCCACCAGTCACCAAGTGCAGAGTGTGGCTACCCACTCAAAGGCGGTCCTGTCAATCCCTAAATGATTCTCTACAATGAATGTACTATCTTTAGTTTACAAATACGGAAAGAGGCACAAAGATGTTAACGTGGTTTTGTTTGTTTAAAATCACAACTACTGGGGCACTTGGGTGACTCAGTGAGTTAAAGCCTCTGCCTTCAGCTCAGGTCATGATCCCAGGGTCCTGGGATTGAGCCCCAGATCAGGCTCTCTGCTCAGCAGGGGGCCTGCTTCCTCCTCTCTCTCTGCCTATTTGTGCTGTCTGTCAAATAAATCAATAAAATCTTAAAAAAATAATAACAAAATCACAACTACTAAGCATGGAGAAGGAATCGAAATGTGGCTTCCGAATCCAGTATTCGCTGGCTATTCCAAGCTGCCTTTCAAGTCATTTCCAAGCCTTTTTGTTGTTGTTGTTAAATAATAGACCTTATTTTTTGGAGCCGGTTTAGGTTTACACTGGAAGGTAGAGTTCCCACCCACTCCCTGCCCTCACACAAGCACAGCTGTCCCATTATCACATCCCCGCCAGAGTTTGGTCACTTTTTATAATCACTGTTCCACTTGCTGTCCTAGGAGATGCCCAAGGTCCTGATTCCACAGGATCAAACTGAATGAAGTACAGGGGCTAGAGAAAAAAAAAAAAAAGTCTGGTCTCAATTTCCCCCTCCATCTTCTGCACTTCTAAGAGTTATTCTAAAAAAAGCAAAGAAAAGAAAAGAGAAGAGAAGAAAAGAAAGAAAGAAAGAAAGAAAGAAAGAAAGAGAGAGAAAGAAAGAAAGATGGCCCTTGCCTGCTTAAAAACCTTCCAGACTCTATTGCCTACAGGATAAAACCCAAAACTTTAATGAGACATACAAGGCCATTCCTAATCTGGCCTTTGTTTACCTCTCCATCCTCACTTCCTTCTACTTTCCTCTGTTTTAGCGGGAGCCGCGCGCGCGCGCGCACACACACACACACACACACACACTCACGGCAGCCAGAACTCCTTTCCCCTAAACACACCATACTCCTTCCTGCCTGTTTCGCACACAGTGCCATCTTCCTGGAGTCCCTCAGTTTTCCACCTGGCATACCTCTCGCCTTCTGGATCACAACCCCCGCGCTGCTTCTGTGCTTCCCCGGATAGTGGGAACATCTCCGTCATGGAGTAGCTACACCACACTGTGTATGTCCGTTTCTGCTTGTCTTCCCCCACCACGTAGGAGCTTTAAGGAGGCAATCTTTCTTCACCATCTCAGCTCCCCTCCGCCAGCATAAAGGAAGCACCAGTGTTTTGGAAAGGGCTGGACGACGACAGGCGGAAACT